GAATCCAATCCCTTGGCGATTTCCTGACCAAGGTAACCCTGTGGGAGAACCCTTGGACGCAGGTCGCTTTCAAGAAATTATTATCAGGGTTTTATACAAGGCCGATGGTTGTGGGGTTGCTTTTTTGCTTTGCTGTTGTGGCCGTTGAAAGGGCCATGCTATTGGTATTCTGCTTGGGCCGATATGGGCACACTTTGTGGCGTGACCTACCCTTTTGAAATTACTGTTGGCCGTTGGGGCCAATGTAGGTGTGCTTTCTTAATGTGGCCGTTGAATGGTTGGCCGTCACAGACGCTGATTACTGTCACGTTGGTGATGGGTTGGTACTGATGGAAATGGGCCTGACCCGTCTTTTGAATCGGTGCCAGCCCAATGGGCCCTGGGGTTAGTGGTCGTTCATGTGGCCAATGGGTGTGTGCCACGTGTAGTGACCGTTGGAGGGGGAGGTCTATAAATACCCCCTCCCTCCGAAGAGGCTCCCCATTGCATTCTTGAGATAACAAAGTGCTGCCCAATTTTCTAGAGAGAGAGACTTGTTCGTGTGTTCTTCCGTTCTTCAAAACTTCAAAGGTCAGTTCATCGAACTTTTCTCCACTTCCTTGCATACTTTGCTTCTTTTAGACCTTGATCCAGTGTTAGTCACGAGAACACCTCAGATCTGAAGTAGTCCCCCTTAGAACTATGATATCTGTTATAATGAAGACCTTAGACGAAGAGTACTACCCTTACGACGATGAGGTCTCTGTTAAGTCCCTTGACTACCGAGTGGTGGAAGAGTGCTGTGAGGAAATTGAGGACTTGAGTCCTTTGAAGACGGGGGAGCAAGAGGACGATGAAGGTGCGGGTGAGGAGGCCGCCTTGTCGTCTGAGGGGGAAGACGTAGGGGTCTCCCGTGCCATGGACGGTGCGTCTACTTCGACCGCCATTCCTTCCCCGAAACTGGTTTATGCCGTCAAGGGAGCCGCCCCGAAGAGGAGGCGCCGGACGAAGAAAGGCCCAGGTTTCTCCTATCTGGACCTTAGCAACATCTACCTCATCAAGCCACAGAGTGGTGAGGCTGACTACTTAGTTGCCCAGATGTATGTATGGCCTTTTGGTAGGGTTAGGGCTCCTAGGCCGACGGACCACGTTCTTAATGCTCCACCGGGATATTTTGTGGTGTACCCAATGAGCTTTGCGAAAGGGCTTCGCTTCCCACTTCATCCTTTCATCACGGAGTACCTGGATATGGTGGGGTTTCCCCCGGCCTTGCTGTCCCCGAATAGTTATTCCCTGATCGTCGGGTTTCTCCTTCGCTGCGATGAGTTGAACTACAAGCCGATGACTGCTCTGTTAATGAACCTATACCAGATAGGCCGAGGCAGCCACCAGAATTGTGCCGGCTACGCCAACCTTCAACAACTGTCGAAGAAGAGGAGCTTTACTGACCTTCCCTCGTCTATCCATGGTTGGAAAAGCAAGTTCGTTTTTGTGTCGTTGGGTGAGGGAGGCACTGAGTTTCCTTCCGTCGGCCACAGTGGTAGATTCACCCTCCATGATATGCTGAGGAGTACCATCTTGGATGCTCAAGTGGCTGCATTTTTGGAAGGGGGGCCGAGGAGCGTAAAAGATTACGTTACGGAGTATAAGATGACAGCGGGTTATGTGTCCCAACAATCGGTTATGATAACTCGGAAACCAATTTTTTTGGTGTCTTGCACGAGATTCTCGAACTGGAAATGCCTTCTACTGGGAAAAAGTTGACATGCATTTTGTTCCGCTGCAAATGGATCGATCCAACACGTTGTGTGCGAAAAGAAAAACAGAGGGATGAGAAAGGATGGAGAAGACGGGTGAGTGGTCAACCTTGATGAAGAGCTGCTGGTGCGAAATTAGATCGTAGAAGCCCAGCGAGATTGAAGAAGCTAGATTGAAGAAGCGAGATGTGAAATCCTGTGCGAAATCCAGTGCAAAAATGCCTGCAAAGTACTGTGCGAACGTCTCGTGCGGAACTGGTGCGAAGGGAAGAAGCGAAGAACGCCTAAAAACTCCGGTTGTACCGTGCACACGATATAGCCGGCTATAAGAATGTAGGATGTAATTTACCCCCTTACTATATATAGCCAACTAGCCAAGTAGGCATGAGAGGAAGTACCCAAAGGGTCAAAACAAAAGCAAAAGAATAAAAAACAAACTGTAGAACTTTTGGATTGTTTTAGATACAACACTCAAGTGTCTTGCTCTCATCCTAACCGTGTGTTTTAGGAAGTGGAAATCACATCAAATCATTTCACACTAATATTTTGACTCATATTTCGGATATAGTGTGTTTTGCAAATCTCCAAGTGTCATATTGCGACATTTCAAATCGAATTTGCTGTTACACATCACAATCTTAGTCGGTACCATGCTTCCTGGCCTTATGTTTGCTCATATCAAATTTAACATCAATGATCGCTCTAGAAAGGTTGGGATCCCTTTTGGCACTGTCCTGACACAACTGTTTATCAAAAAAGAAGTGTCTCTAGATAACCTTCTTTATCACATAATTCATAAGAACCTTGACACTAAGGGTCTCCTGAACTACGGCATAGTTGTCCACAATTCCAAGCTCATCTTCAAGGAAACAATTACACATGTTCCCTCAACCAAAGCTCCTAAACCAAAGACTATTCCAACTGACTCTCCTAATCCAATGCATTTTGTCACTCTTGTCAAAGAACAGCTACACCTAATGGAGCTCACTATGTTGCGGCGTTTTGACTCATTGGCAGAATCGGTGACAACACTTTCCAGTAGACTTGAAGAAGTTCGCACGGAATTAAAATCTTTTCAAAGTGAGATGTTGGCCATATTTGAGCACGACAGTGAAGGGTTCCATAGGAGAATCGTTTCCTCATCGGATTAAGAATAATTCGCCATCATAAACAACTTTTTCAATTGTTATGTTTTTGGGAAGGGATATCATACTTGACTGCTTTTTACTTGCTTCCTTTCCGGCATTGTTTTGGTTATTTTCCATTTCCTTTTGGTTGATGCCAAAAGGGGGAAATAATCAGGTGCCTCCCTCCTTTTGCTGCTACACTTATAGCTGCTGCTACTATGTTTCGATCTCGTTGTTGTTTACACACTAATCTGCATAACTTTTTCGGCACCTAAGGTTTGTCATCAACAAAAAGGGGGAATTTGTTGATTATTTAGTTTTGTTTATGACTAACCTTAAACTGAAATGAACACTATCCTTACTTTCCTTGGATCCAAGAAAATACTTTATTATTTATCTGACCATGCAGGTGGAACGTTTGGATAGAAACTACCGATTCTATCAGAAACGAACTTTGTTCTGATTGATATAAATAATTGTCATGCTTGATAAGTGATTTAATTGATATATGGCTGCTGATAATTCCTCGTCCATGAAGCTGAATTATTTTACACGTGGCACATCTCTCATACATGACTAAGCATTTACTTTAATGACTTAACCTATATATATGTGTCACTTAAATAAATACCTTGCCACTTCAATGGTAATTGACCGTAACATTTTTGCTTTCCGTCAACCGATTTTTTTTAGATGCAACACTAAGTGTCTTGCTCTCATCGCAACCGTGTCACACTAATTTTTTTAGGAAGTGGAAATCACATCAAACCATTTCACACTAATATTTTGACTCCGGATATAGTGTGTTTTGCAAATCCCCAAGTGTCATATTGCGACATTTCAAATGGAATTTGCTGTTACACATCACAATCTTAGTCGGTACCATGCTTCCTCATATCATACTGACGACGGAGTATGGAGTAGTAATAATTACACACTCAATTTGGGTAAAAATGAGAGTGGGCCTAAATTTCTTTTCCCACGTTAGGTACCCACGTTGCTGGACTGTGATTCTGCTCAAACTAATTTACATGACCCAATTAAGATGATATTAATATGCATATACATTGATGGGAATAATCGGACAACAAAAAGAAGTAGAAATATGTAGGTTAATAAAAAATAATCCATATTATATGGAAATTGTTCATTGCAGGAGTAAAGATGTTTTCTTTTGGACGGTTTTCGGTCCCAAATCAGATCAGACCAATCTTTAACATACCAGACCGGATGAGACTTAAACAAACTATATCAGACTAGACCAGACTTGGATAGTTATAAAATACACAAAGATCAAACATTTACCATGTTACCTGACCAGACTTAAACAGAACAGATCAAATCAGACCAGTAAATTTCAATCTAAAAGAAAACATCTTAAACCATGGTTGGGAGTTTTATTTTAATTATACTTTGTGTCTTCGTATCAGAATTCGATATTTAAATACGCTATTACTAAATCTGGTTATTCTCAAATCACAAGCAATCAATTTGATCCGGTAAAAGATCAAAATTGCATAAAGGAGTAGTAACATTTTGCAAACATAATCGATCAGGAGGGCTAAGCTAATCGTACCCAAGTTATATAAGATCAAAACTCACATACTTCGTTTAACTTTTTAGTAAATAACATATTTATACTGTAATCTTTTGTGTCTGTCTATATTTTGTTGTAGGTTTTCTGCTAATTGACTACGTTTATTCGTTTTGTTTCATACTCCGTATATGCATGTTTGGGATCAAGTTGGATTGATCGATTTCCTGATGTAATGTACAAGATTGCCAATTTTTCGGATTAGTATACAGATGATATTAATAATACTACGTTTTCCAGTAGAATTATACGGAGTAGTACGTATGCTGGATTAAAACAATGATAATATAACAAAATTTTGACTATATTGTTTCGTTGGTTTGTTCTTCAACTCCGGTATTTGTTTCCAAGCCTACCAAGGTAGTCTTCTTACTTCTTAGGTTGTACTAGTAATTTTTTGTTTGAGGACCAGCTGTACCAAATGTACATTTTTTTTGTCAAAAATGCAAACATAATATACATGTTTCTTTCAAGGTCCTCCTAAAAATCATGTATTGTAATTTACACCGCCATAAAAACATAGAAACATTCCTCAATACTTGAACACACATACACAGGTCAGATGCATTTAATAAAATATTCGAAGTCCTTAATATAGTGCGGAATATATTATACAACAATTCTTGATGTACACACCCTTGTACACACTTTATACACATCATGTTTGTGAAGCTTTTTTTGTTTGTGCAAAACATTGTCTGTGAATCGATGTTCACAGACAAAAAAAAAAGCTTTCACAGACATAGGTGTGTACAAAAGTGTGTATAAGAGTGTGTACAAACATCATTTTTGATATACTATTCCGTATTGCATTACATTGTTAACCACCTAGCGCATGCATTTATCAATGCATAGTAGGTACTCCTATTATATAGTATTCCTATGAGATATTACCCGAAATAGGACTAAGACAATTTGAAAATTCCAAAATAGAACTGCCATATTTTTATTCCCAAAATATGACTAATTACTACCATGTTTTGACAGTACCAGACTTTAAACATGGCAGTATTTTCTAAACATGTCAGTAATTAGTCCTATTTTGGGAATAAAAAACATGACAGTCCTATTTTGGAATTTTGAAACTGTTTTAGTCCTATTTCGGGAACTTTCCCATTCCTATTATACGAGTAGTAATTTAATATACTTGGAATAAATAAAAATAAAATAAGGGAAATATTAATAATATTATATTGGTAAAATATCAGTAATTAATGATAATAGTGGATTGATCAAGTCTTTAAGGCATCTCTATCAACCTTAACGGTGCAAGCTTGCCCTAAAGCATAGGCCCCAGAGTAGCCCGATCTCAGCAAGCAAGGGCAGTTGACATGCATTTTTCCGCTGCGCCACTGATCCTCCCAAGCAATCCACCCATCCACAGTAATGTTGATTGGGATGAGCGGCATCTTTTCCAAGCCCGTACCAGCCACCGGGACGGAATGACCATTTAAAAAAGTTGAGAAAGCGCCGGCAATTTTTGGGGGCTGAACAGATGAATGAAGGAAGAACGGTGGGAACAGCAATGGCCTCTCCGAGATATACGGCGTTGATGCTGAGGCGGTCATAATTGATTGTGACGTGTCGGTTAGGGTTGAGGTAGAGTAGTGTGATGTTCACGTTGGTGTCAAGAAGGAAAGAGGAATCAGCTCCGGGGATGGGCGTGAGATTGAAGTTGTGGGTGGTGGCTTTCTGTAGGGTGAAGATGGGGTAATCGGTGGTGTATTTGCTGGGGACTGCGACTACGACCACTACCGTAATCGCCACAACTATCAGCGGTAAGAAAATGACTACCCAGCTCATACAATCATGGAAGGCGTTGAGTTCTCTGTCATCTATATCATCAGTCTTTTGAGGTGCCATAGCTAGCTACCTTGTTTCTTTCTCTGTCAAAAAAACTAAAGGAATGAACATCTAATATTTTGGACGTCAATCCGTTCTATAAATATGACTTGCGGTTCCACATCACCATCTTAATGGCCCCACTAATCATTTGTCGCTAGATGGCACGCCTCATGTTCCAAGAATGTGATTGTGTTCAACTGATTTGCATCGACCCATCTAATAAGATGCAATTAATTAACATGCATATGTGTTGCTGTTTGGAACGAAACAAGTATATTAAATATGTAAATAAAAATTTCATTTTAAAGAGATGGTTCAAAATGGGAGTAAATGACACTGATAGAGAATATTCTCATATACTCCCTCCATCCATCATTGTTTGTCCTAGTTTGACTTCACAAGTTTTAAGGAAATGAATTTGACTTTACACCGTATCGATACTGTTTTACACTGTAGCGACACTGTTTGACACTGTTTTGCACTGTTTGACACTGTTTGATATAGTTTTGTTTATCAAATAAGAAAGTTTAAAAAGTAGGACAAACTTTTTGGGACATCCATTTTGGGAAAGTAAGACAAACATTTAGGGACGGAGGTAGTATCTTAGAAGTATCAATATTCACGAACTAAGCTAGGAGTCTCCAGAAACATTAAGTCATTATTCCCCCGAGGCCGAGCTCGACCCACCCGAGGTCGGTCCAACATGTGACTCGCAGATTATCGAGATCACTACTAGATTTTGTCATTTGCTGCTCTCTTTTTGTTGCGTTTGTTGGCACACCCGCAGCAAAATGTTGAAAATTTGAACTAATTGCGGCGGGTACAGGGGAGCGGCAACATTTGCCTACGTATTTTTTGGAGTATTTGCTGCGGTCACTACGGAACCACAAAATTTATCATTTAAAATCAAATTACCTTTTGTGGCGGGTCTTTATCAACCGCAGCAAAATAACCCATAAAATAACTCGCTTGATAACTTTGTTGCGCTCTTCTTTATCGCAGCCTCCAAAAAAGCTCCAGATCCGTTCACAGGCTTCAACGTCCAAATCCCTCCCATCTGCAGCTGCCAAACGCCGACACTCCCAGCCGTAGCTGCCTCACGTCAACCCTCGCAGCTACAGCTGCCGCAGACCTGGTGGTTGGTGGAGTGGTGGGAGTGCCGGAGCGGTGGACCTGGTGCCTGGTGATTCACAAGTTCGGCTGGTCCGCCTGTGCAACCGGCAGGTTCGCGTCGGTGTCGTTGGGCCTTGGGGGCTACCGCCTTTGTGGTGACCGGTTGGGGCGTTGGGGATGGGTGCAGTGCAGGATTGCGTCGCAGCGTAGGCGTCGTTGGCGAGAGAATGGTGTCGGGGTCTCAAGTCTGCGACTTTGGAGATGGGATTGGGGCGCAGGTTCATGAGTTTGGTTATGAAGTTGGGCTTTTGATTTTGGGCTGGGTGATACTAATTTTTTTTGGACCCTTCAAAAATCCGGGCCCTATGCGGTTGGACTGGGCATACATGCCCATGGCCGGCCCTACCGCAGACCGTTCCTCCTAGCCTCATCCGCTCAACTTCGTTCCTCCAGATGTAGCCGCCGAACGCCACCCCCTTCTAGTACAATTCTTTGCCGGCTCATATTGGCTCAATAGAGGTTTATTTTCCAACCTTTTATTTTTAAATTTTATTTAATTTATTGAATTTTATCAAATTTCTTGAAGATTAGTGATGGAATATATTCCCGTATAGCCCAGGGGTACCGCAACCACCGGTAGAGAGCCTTGCGGGTTCATCGGGGGCAAGAAAATACTAAGTCCACATCTGGATCCGACCCCGACCCCGACCGCCGAGGTCGGGAAACATCAAGTTCAGGGATCAAGTAAACTCAGCAGATAACGGAGTCCACCGACCCCAACCCCGATCCCGAGGTCGGGAAAACACCGAGCTCAGGAGCCAACTAAACTCGACGATTCATGAGCCCGACCTCGAGACATCTGAGGTCGGCACCAGGTCTAACCTCAGAAGTCTGACTCCAGGTCAACGTCAATCAAAGCACCAGGCGGTCAAACCACCTCCAAAGCAAGAACGGAAGACAGCAGAACGGGTCCTCTCAACATAGGCCTGAGCCCCCAGATACCGACCTCAGTAACCCTCGAGGTCAGGAGAAAAGCACCATGTACTTAGGCGAAATCCGCAAGGGCTTAATTCGTGAGGAAACATCACCATGTCACTCTCCGCACTGACGGAATATACCAGATTATCTGCATACGGCTACACGAAATCTTTGGCAGGATTTATGTTAGAGGAATGATCAATCAGCCAGCTACCCGAAGCTCTCTCTCTCCAATCAATTTTCCACGTGGCTGCTCCCGGTCCATTTTGTCTGGTAGTTTGTTAGAGTAGCTTTACACGTGCCCCTCTCCTATTAGACTAATATCTTTTTACTTGGGCACCAAGTATTTCTCTTTCTCCTTAGTATAAATATCACCTTCCAACTTGTGGAAAGGGGTTGAATTTTGGATGCTTGAGTTTTGATCAATCGCACTCTAAATTTCATACTGTGAGACTTGCAAGCCAGTTCGCTCTCTCCATTTCCTCTCTTATTCTCGATGGATTCCGGCCACCCCTGGTCCGACGATCCATCAATTAGTATTTGTATGAATTGATTGAATTAGTATTTATTTTTTGATAGATTGAATTAGTATTGATACTTATGTTTGGATGAAAGTAATGAGACTTTGAACACGCATGTGAAGAAATTAAGGCCCAATATCTATAGCTGTATTTTTTTGCTGAAATAACTTCAATGTCCTTTTGATGTGCTCGTAGAGGAACCACAACATAAGTATCTTTTTTTTAATAATTTTTGGTCCCTTATTTGCTGTGATTGTGAGTTGTGACTACAGCAAATACCTGTTTTTACATTTTGGTACCCCTACAATTGTTGTTGTTCCGAACCGCAACAATTAAGTTAAAACAACTACAACAATTGCGTTTTTCTAGTAGTGGATAATGCCAAAACTTCATCCGAGGCCGAGGTTGACCTTCGCCGAGGTCATCATCAAACCCGACGTCATACACGGGCTTGAAGTCATACACAGGCTGGTTTCTAGTGAAGGCCGATAGCATTGTAGCAGCAGCAGGGCATCGTAAGAAGGTCGGCGAATCCCACATGTAATAATCTCAATCTACTTTTCTCCCTGATGTATCCGATGTTTTTGTTCCCCTCGGTTGTAGGGTGCTTCTTTACCGGCTATCTTTGCCCAGTCGGGTGTTGTGACTAATTAGATGGGTTGTGTGAGTCGGAACTGCCGCGGGTTAGGAAATCTAGCCACGGCCCAAGTGATGGAGACCGGTATGGAGCCTGATGGAACCGGACCAAAAAATAGCTTTATAGCGGTGCTTCTGGATCAGCACCGCTTGGAATTCTATTAGATCTAATGTGTGGGATGCTTCCTTTGGAAGTTGTTGGACAAACCTCTCGTCCCTTCCGGAAGGCTGGTAAAATCGGAATAACGTCTTTGAAGGTGACTCATCAAATCTCTTCTCACTTTCTAGGGGTTGGAAAAACCAGCAGTTTTGATTCTATTTGCTATTTTCATTTTAATAACTCTAGCTTTATGTCCATTTATTTTAGTAGCATGTACAACGATGTTGTTAGATTAGTCTACCATGATGCGGGGTTAGCAATCTTGACGGGTTTTCAGAGGCTTGTCAGTTCATGTTTCACCCAGAGTAGCTTTGAGCTATTGGTTTACTTTTTCTCTTGTCACTTTCACTATTATTAATAAATATGTGTTCAAAAATCACTCCATTAAAGAAAAGTTAACCTACCCCTCCAACAATTTTATGAGAACCAAACATCACTCCATACAATATTTCTTCAAAAATTATGTAAGAAACAGTAGATCAGCATTGTTTAAAATGAATACTGAACAATAAAGATCTAAGACTTAAGAAGTTAAGAGGAAATTGTTGGGAAAAAACTCCGGAATTTCCCGCTTCGTGAAGTTAAGATAGGCACTTAGGAATTAAGGTAGTAATGGGAGCACACGATTTAAATTCTCCAATATGGAGATTCTTCCACTATACAAAAGAATAGTAGGATTTACAAGAATGTTACAAAATTGTCTCACTCAATGGTGGCTCACTCAAGCTTGAGGATATTACCTTCCCAAGCTAACTCTCTTCTCTCTCAAAGAGACTCTCTAACTCTCTAGCTTTCTCACTCTAGGAAGTGGATTCTCTCTTGCTAGGATTGCTAGGATTAGGATTGGGATAGTTAGGAATGGAGGCTCCTACTCCTATTTATACTACTCCACCTCCATAATGAGTGGTGGAGAATATTTCTCTAGAATGATCTACATGACTACCTATTCTAGAGAATTCCAAGGAATCTCTACACCTCTCCATTCTCTTCCATATGCTTCCATACTCTTCCATAAGCTTCCGGAAGGTTCCACACATCTCTAGAATATTCCAGAGGATTCCACATTATTCCGCAAGCTTCTAGAGAGTTCTAGACTTCTCTAGGATTCTCCGCAACGTTCTAGAAAAATCTATACTTCTCTAGAAAGCTCTAGAATTTTCTAGAACCTCTCCAATTAAGTAGGGATCCCAACAAATCTCCCCCTCCCAACTTAATTGGGGGGGGGTTGTAGCAAACCTGCACCTTGACAACAATCTTCGAACTTCTTTGTCAGTATAACCTTGGTCATCATGTCTGACCAATTCTCGTCTGTGTGAACCTTGTCAAGATGCAATTTCTTTTCTTCGAGGACTTCTCGGATCCAATGATACCTTGTATCAATGTGCTTCGTGCGGGAATGAAATGTTGAGTTCTTCGCCAAGTAAATTGCACTTTGATTGTCGCACTTCAACACGTACCTTTCTTGATCTATTCCCAGCTCGAGCAACACATTCTTCATCCACAACATCTCCTTGCAAGCTTCAGTAGCTACGATGTACTCTGCCTCTGTGGTGGATAATGCAACACACTTTTGCAGCTTTGATTGCCAGGAAACAGCCCCCCTGCAAAAGTAGTTAGGTATCCCGATGTTGATTTCCTTGAATCAATATCACCGGCCAAGTCTGCATTTGTGTATCCTTCTAACACAGGTTTTCCTTTTCCAAAGCATAAACATATTTTGGAAGTTCCACATAAATACCGGAGGATCCATTTGACCGCTACCCAATGTTCACTCCTAGGGTTGGCCAAGAAACGACTAACGAATCCAACTGCATAGGCGATATCTGGTCTTGTGCATATCAT